ATGGACAGTTAATGGGCAGAGAATTAAAGCATATTTGGGAGATGTAGTGGATAAGCTTCACCTCATTATCTACCTAGATAAACCTTAAAGCAAATAGGCGTCGAGCTGAAGACGTTAAACAAGCGCTCCTGGGAGGCAACCCAGTGTTTTATCTTTAATTTCTTTTCTTTTTGGTAATTTATTTTTTTTTATTTTATCTTATTGCATTATAAATTGAGCATGAACACATTTGAACATTGTTGAACTAAATCTATGTGAAAATTTGCTTTTGAGTTGTTAATCATTGGATTGCATTTGAATATCATGTTCCAAGTCAAAATTCATTAAAATTCGCTCAAGCTACAGAGGATTCGCTTGAGCGAATGTTAGTTGTTTCTCTCTATTTTTCTTCACTCAAACAAATTTTTTTGTGTGCACACATTCGCTCAAGCGAATATACATTATTTCTCTCTGTTTTTGGTCGTTCAAGCGAATAATAGGCACACTAATTTTCGCTTGAGCGAAAGTACCCAGATCTGGTTTTTAAAAATCGCGAAAGGGTCACTTTTCATTTATCCCAAAACCCTATTTCACACCCACTCTTCTCCAAAATCATCTCTTCTCTAAATTAAGCCTAAATCTTTCAAATATCGGCTCCCAATTCATCACTTCATCTATTCTAAAGCATTTGAGTAACATTCCACTGATTAAATCTACAAATTGAACCACTGTTCATATCAAATTCTGCATTTGTGAGTTTTCCAGAAAATCTACAAATAAGGTAAGGAATTAACTCTTTTTGTTCGAAATTATCTGATTCTTGTCATGCAAGTTGGATTTGTGGTTGAATTGATTGGATAGATTGCATTGTTATAGGTTAGAAATTCATATGCATGCCAAGTGTTTGCTAAAATGCTTCAAAGGAATTTATTTGGTTTGTAGGTGATATAAAGTGTGTAATTGCTAATGAATTGCTTAATTATATAAGTGGGAAAGGATTCATGCTAGAAATTAGGGCCATATAAGTTTGAAAATAAGGTGCATGCCAACTGTTTGATGAAATGTTCAAGTATGAACTATAATGTGTTTTTGCAATTAAACATATCAATAGTCTCACATGCAGACCTAAGTAACATTGTATTCATGATGGGATCAAAACATTAGACTAACTATGAGTATCATGATGTTTCAGATGGTTCTAAGAAAAGATTCACGAGGTGCTTCATCATCCAGGGCTGCTAGAAAAAGGCCAAGGACTGAGTTTGCAGGCATTCAAATAGATAGAAGAAGATTAAGGGATGTTGAGAGGCAGGCAAGATTTGAGAGAATCTGAAACTGGACCTTCATCCCAGAAAGAAGAGTAGAACTGAATGAGGGCGAGTATCCAGAATTCAACAATGAATTAACCCGTCGGAACTGGAGGCAATTGGAGCTCCCAATGCCCAAGTATGATCCTGAGATTGTAAAGGAGTTCTACGTCAATGCCTGCCTAGTTGAAGGTGAGTCATTCAGGGCATGTTCCAAAGTGAGAGGCAGGTGGGTTCCGTATAATAGGAACACAATTAATGATTTGCTGGGGAATCCACTTTTTTTGGAGGAAGGTCATATTTGTGACTTCCAGGTCATTAGGAATAGCAGACGTCTAACTGAGATGCACTTTAGGGATGATGACATCGCAAGAACCCTATGCTTGCCTGGGAGGACCTTTGAGGCAAATCATGCTGGGAAGACTTTAAGGATTTTAAGGGCTAACATGACCACATTAACTCAGATCTGGACTTCTTTTCTGCTGGCCAACATTGTACCCATCAAGCATAGTTCAGATCTGAATATGCCCAGGTGCCATATCATCAAGAGCATTCTGGATGAAACTATGATTGACGTCGCTGCGATTATTTCAGAGGAAATTTATCAGTTTGTGGTTTTGGAAAGCGGGCGACGAGCAGAGCAAGTGAAGGCTCTTGGATTCCCTGTTCTCATAACAGCCCTTTGTGCAACCCATGGTGTGGAAGTTAACCTATCAGTGAACATCCGACCACCAATTAATAGAAGATTCATCGAGCGGAACTGTGTGAACCCTACAGAAGGGGAGCCACAGCCACTGGCACAACAACCACACCAGCCAAGAAGAGCTCGATAACCACCTCCACCACCTTAGCAGCCAGATTTTCAAAGAATGATGCAATACATGGAGCATCTAACTTTGCAACAAGCAGCGACCCATTGGGGTCAATGCAATATTAATGAAAATTTTTATAACTTATCTTTGCAAATTGCTCCAGGTATGTAGTGGACGTCACCATAGGAATTTGATGCCTTACTTCAATGGCCTGGGGACAGTCCCTATTTTTCAGGAGGGGGTGAAGGTGCAGCTGATGCACATGGAGCACAAGAAGAGGAGGAGGAATCACAAGAAGAAGATGAAGAAGAAGAAGAAGAAGAAAGTGAAGAAGAAGATTAAGGGGAAGAAAATTTTAATTTTAAGTGATTTTTTTTTATTTTGGTGTGTTTAAGTGAATTGGTTAATTTGATGTTTTAACTTTTTTTTTTGTTTTAATTTGTTTAAATTTGTTTTGTTTTGAATATTCTAAATTGATATTTAATGTGATGAATGTTTAAATTAATATGATTAAATTGTTGTCCCATACAATTTGGATTATAGCCAATTATGAAATTATTGTTTATTGTCCAATTCAAATCTGGAACTTGAAGAAAACCATTTTGATTACTCCAATAACAAGTGATTTTGGGATGATGAGTATGATAGTGAAAAGGAATTGATGGGGAGAAGTAGGAATTAACTGAATCGGAGAAGCTAGCCAAAAACCCAAGCAAGAAGTGAACCAAAAACAGATAAATTGAGTGTCAACACTTTTTGATGATAATTGGTATTGATTGATTATTTGATGTGATTGCGTGTTAGTAAGACTTGAAAATGATAAAGACATTTTTTCTTTGTAGTAAATATAACCCAGAGCCAAATAACCAACCCTGCATTAATTATAGGACATCCATTTGAACTCCTTATGAGCCAAAAATAATACTGTTTCTTAAACAGAACCCCTGAGCCTAAAAACTATTTATCTACCTTCCTATATTTGAGAAAGGAAATGAGTATGAATGTTATTATTTTTCCTATTGTTGGGTATTGCTATTGTTGTCCTACGGGTATTATTGGGGTGTTATTCTTAAAAAAAAAATAAGGTGTAAAGGAAAAGGAAAAGAAAAGCTTAAAAATTATGGCAAAGCCAAAAAGGATACATGCAAAAGCATGAGAAAAGAAAACAAAAAAAAAAGTCAAAAGGGGGGAATAATAACTTGTGAGATTATTAACTCACTATCATTATGTTAGGGACAAAAGCATGAAGTTTGAAACCTGACTTGAGAAAATGTTAATAAAGAATCATTCATATGATTTGAATTTCTCAAATACTTTTGTATATCCCAGAAAAACCAATGATTCTTTCTTAGCCCAGCCCCATTACAAGCCTCAAAAGACCTTTTGATTTAAGTCTTGCTTAACAAATGTTGATTGCTTGAAGACAATTATCAATATTAGATTGTCTAAATGAAGTGATTGAATGAGATAAACACTTACCTGTGAGAATTAGAGATGATTATATATAACTCTATTTGAGAGATCATGCTTCTATGAGGATAGTTGAGGACTAATTATTCTTTGTTATTTTTTGTAACTTGAATGCTTATGTATTCTATTTTTCATTTGGAGTTGTGAGCATCACATCTGAAAATTTTTTTATGTTGCGGTTCTGGAAGAGAAAGTGATAATAGGCGATGATTTTGTTTTGGAAAAATTACTTTGCTTGGGACAAGCAAGATTCTAGGTTGGGGGGAGTTGTTAAGTGGTAAAATGTTGATATAATTATGCCTTGAATTGTTATGAAACCACTTAACTTATATTAATTATAATATATTTTCCTCTCAATATAGGATGAATTCGAGAATATCTTGATGCAAGAGTAAGAAACATAATTGGAGTAAAATTGGAAGAAGGAAGAAGATTTTCAACATGGAAGTCGTTCGAGCGGGATGGACCCTCGCTTGAGCGAATATCAGTTATTCTTCTCTGGAAGTCAGTCGCTCAAGTGCAAGAAAATTCGCTTGAGCGAATGTTAGTTATTCTTCTCTGGAGTTCACTCGCTCAAGCGAGCGTTTTGTCACTTGAGCGAAAGACACAAAACCCAAAAGCCCAATTTTTCCTATAAAAAGAGAAGATGTGTTTTGAGAAAAAAAAAACGGTTTTAGGGAGAAGAGGCGCGACTACTGATAGAGTTTCATTCAATCTTCATCAATTCTTCACTTCTTCCACATTTGGAGCATTGTAATGACCAACATGAGTGACTAACTTCATTCTCTTGGGATTGGGTGCACTTCCCTTGAACTCTTTTGTATCATTGTGATATTTTGATATATTAATCTATGTTTTGATGTTATTCTTATCCTTTGTGCTTTGGAATGAATTATTCTTGATGTTTGGGATATGATTGAAAAATATATCTTGAACCTTAGATCACGATAAGAATATTTGTTACGTTAATTGCCAGGAATGAAATGAATGTATCAATTGCTTAACACCCTAAACCTAATGCTGGAAAATCTCTTAATTGTGTGATGAATCAACATTTATTAGGTTTTCTTATGAATTTCATATGTGAGGAATCAACATGGATGATTTGAGTAGGTGACATCAACATTGTTAGGTTAATTGACGTTCTTAATTGACATAACCATTACAAAAGAGGGATAAGGAATGAAACCAATTCTAAGTGTCTTTAATTGATATTTTCTCAACAATTTACAATTCTTTGTTTTTTAATTTCAATTCAACTCTTTATGCAAAACCCATTATATTTTAATCTATTTAGTAAACATATAATTGAGAATTTCCATTAAAACTATTTCCTGTAGGATCGATTTTTATTTAATTGAAATACTATATTGCGATTGGTAATTTTGGTACGCTTACCAATAATTCAACACTTTCTTTTTGTCATTTTCAGGGTCAAAGGGTATAGTATACTAGAACTGGACCTGGTAATGCACCTCATTGCCTTTGTTGCTAACACTGAACCTTTTATTCTACAGCTTGTTAAATTCTACCGCTATATCAATTAAAACTAATTCAGAAAACTGCACCACGATGCTTTAAACTCAACTTGACCAGTTCTGTTTATATTACAGCACTTCTTATCATGGCACCGCATGCATGGCACCACAGGCAACTAATTTGCAACACAACTGCTAGTTTGAGATATACTATACTAGAATGCTTTGGCTGCACTGAATCAAGAAAATGATTCAACAAGACACCTCATGCTTGCTTCCTCAATTAAAAGGTTGCACTAGATTTCCGTGAACAGCCACTTAACTGCTTGATGGTTTACTCTCATGCACCAGCAACAAACCAATTAGCACCCACACTAGATAAATCAACCCTGGTTCTATTCGTGTTCCAAAATCGAATACCTGGTGGCGAAGAAACATTTTGTTATCAAGCACCAAACCATGCTACTATCAGATTTCAGCACAGCACAGTACCAGCGGATAGCTTGGTTGCAGGTCAGTCCAATTCAACAACTTTAGTGGTGCACTAGAATGAAACAGCTCTGCACTAGTACCTGATTGACTCTGCACTAGAAGGAAGCAATTATAGCAAACGAAAGAAAACAGAGACTTATGTGTAGAACATCAAAGACAACGTAAAAGAAGATTCAACCGAAGAAATTGCAAAACTATCAAATGAAAACACCATTGAAAAATGTACATCGACTGATTGAAACTAAAATTAAAACTAAAATACTGGATGAACATCAAAAAACAAGAGATAGGAATCAATGAAATACATTAACGCAACAGAGCCGGAATCCGGGGGGGGGGCGTGGCAAATTTATTTATTTTCTTTTCTTTCTCATTATTTTATTTTCATATTCTTATATTTTTACTCTTTCATTTTTTACTTTTTACTCTCTCATTTTTGCAGTCAAATTTCAGACATTTATCCTTTTATTTTCACATTTCTATTTTTCTTTTTTTATTATTTTTTCACTTTTATATTTTTATCTTTCATATTCATCTTAAATATAAAATTTGTAAATTCTTTTCTTTAATTTTTACATTTTTCTGAAATAAATAAATTTTTTATTATTTTTATTCACTATAACATATTATCAAGAATATTATTTGTTATCAATTAATTAGTTCATTATTTTAATATTATTTTTATGTTAAAATATAAAAGAAAAAAATTATATTAAATTTTAGAAACATTTATATAAAAAATTATATCATTTTTTAAGAAAAAAATAATATACGATAAAATAAATTTTAATTTATTAAATTTAAATAACGAATAATATTTAATATATTATTGAGTATCTTATAATATAAAATATATAATAATGAATAATTTTTATGATATAAAATATTGTTAAACCTACATAAAATATATTTAATTATATATATATATATATTATTAATATAGGAGATGATTTATAATTTAAATAATTATATATATACATATATATATATATATATATATATATATATATTATATCACAAATAATTTTAATATATATATTATCTAATATGAAACAACTTCTAACTCCACCCTTACATGCAAGCATGAGAAGTATTTTGAGTTGCTTTGATTTTGAACAATTGGTAATTTCTTAAGAATTAAGTTGTTGAAGAATTATATCTAATTCCACAATAATTTAATGTTGATCTTAATCAAGAAAAGCAAAATTAAAGTTCAAGAAACAAACTAACTCAAAACAACTTATTATTTTTATTTTCAAGCTTCATTGTATGTATTTGATCACTTTTTATCCCCTCCTTGAATTCATAGGGCTAAGGTGATTCGAGTACTCGACGAACCTTAATAAGTTAGAAGTTAGTTTAGGGGGTTAATTATAAAAATAATTATATAATAATAATTAAAAAATAAGATATTTATTTGAAATTTTGTCCTTCCTCCTTTTAAATGTTTAAACTCATCAATAATGGAATCAAAACTAAAGTTTTCAGCTATTTCTTTTTCAATATAAATGATCATATTATTTGCAAGAATTTCATCTTTCATTCTATTCTGCAGTTTTGTTTTGATAATCTTCATTATAGAAAACAATATATCAGTTGTAAGGTAGAAACAAGAAGAGTTAAAATAATACGAATTAAACAATCTATTGAGTAAAATCTACCTGACTTCCCTATTTTTGTCAATGATTGACATAATTCAAGCATGGTAGACAAATTCTTTAAATTTGGATGGTTAGGAGCATCAAGTATAAAATGATGAAGTTGAAATTTTAAATTAATCTTTTAACTAAAATCCAAAGGATAAAATTTGTTCACAAGTGTGTATATATGATCAATGTTAAAATTTTTATAAACATCATTTGGAACTAAAACATTGCTTAAAGTTAAAAGTTCCATTATTTTCTCACTAAACCTATCATTTAATTCTTGTAATTGTTTATCCATTGTAATAAAAAATATGTTCACCCTGAAATGATGTTCCACTGTAATACAATATTTTTGATGTCGAGAACAACCATGACGTGCTACATAGGTAGAATTAAAATTTGGAATATCAATATAATGTTGCTCACAAAACAATATCACATCTTTTAACAAATCTTGTCAACCTTTCAGTCTTAATTTTTTGATCAAAGTTTTAGTAAAATAGACTAACTACATAGCATTATGTATATCCTGAGATTGTTTCTTTAAAGCTTGACAAAATATGAACTCAATATGAACTCAAACTCAGACAAAATATTATAAGCAACATCAACATCACTCTTTTGAGAATAAGTTGAAGCATCAATTATAAATTTTTTGGAGAACTAAATAAGATGCACTGTACAATTTCATCATACTACAAATGAAATGGAAATGTGAACTCCAACGAGTATCACCAACTCATTTTAAAGTGGCAATTCGATTTTTTTCTTTACCAGTTTCAAGTTCACCAAGTTCTAATAATTGGGCTATTTCATCTAATTCAACACTTTGTAACTCATCATGACGTTTACTAGATGAACAAACAACATTTGTAATAAAATCCAAATTTGAAAAAACTTAATGAACTGAAATAACTTCTCTTGAAGCAACAACCAAAGCAAGTTGTAATCTAAGAGCAAAATAATATACATAATAAGCATAAGGATTATCATGAAGAAATAATACTTGCAATCCATTCCATTCTCCTCTCATATACTAACACCATCATATCCTTGCCTACTAATATTGGAAACATCAAGATTATGTCTAGAGAGAACAACACATAATTCTCTTTTAAGAGTAATAATTGTAGTATCCTTAACATGCACAATATTAACAATAGCCATTTGTCTCTTCTAGATTCATCCTAAGCTTCATCAACAATCATACAAAATTTTGAGTCTCCAATTTCTTCACAAATATAATTTTTTACTTTTCTAGAAAAAAAGTTGAAAATTTTCCTTTTGAATACGATGAGAAGTATATTTTGAATTATAAGGAGCATTTTCTAACACAACTTGTGCTACTTTATCATTGTATGATACTAAAAGTTTAATCATCTCAAGAAAGTTACCTTTGTTGCTTGAATATGGTGTTTCATCATGGCCTCTAAATGCACAAGCTTGATATGCTAGCCAACGAATTGTATCAATGGAAGTTTTGAGTCGTAAACGATTTTTGCAAACTTCTTCTGAATTTTGCACATATATAATGTTGTTAATGTGCTTAGATTGATTCAATAAGTCTGTAATGCTTTCATTATATTATTATGTGGTGAATAAGGACTATCTCCAATGTGACTAAGAAATGCACAATTCTTTCCTGAATTAACCTTTTTCCATGATCTAAATCCTTGTCTAATAAACACATCTGCCCTAGGACGACCATTTGACAATATACTAAATAAATAACATGACAAACAATAAACTCCATCAATAGTTGGAGAATACTCCAGCCAAGAAGGAAACATTTTAAATCAAGTATATTGAAATCTCCTAGGATGTTTCTCTTTAGAAAAATGATAGTTTTTAAGTTGTATTTGATATGGACCCCAATTTAAATAAGCTCTTCTAATTTCATCTCTTTGATTCATAGGATATTCATGTATCTGAAGACGTTTTCCTAGGTCACGCTCCAAAGAATTAATATTAAATTTATTAGTTTTAATTCTATGAATATTAGAAAAAGGTTCTTCTAATTGAACAATTTGATCACAATATCATGCTTTGAAATAGGAGAAGATGTTGAATTCGTTTGGTTTTCATCTTTACAAGTATCTCTTTTATCACTTTTAAAAAATCAATCTATTCTTTTATGCTTCATATATAAAAAAATGAATTTATTATTATTTCTAATTATAGAATCATAAAAATTTATAAAAAAGAATATTTCTATCAAACAACAAATGTTCCTCTCCAAAAAAATCAAAATAACAAGCAGTGTGAAAAGATGAGGAAAAAGTACCTTTGTCAATCAATCTGATTTTAACGATGGAACCCGATGAGGGAGGGAGAGAGACAAAAATGAATTTGAAAGTAAAAATTATTGAAACGAAACAATTAAATATTAGTAAATCAATATTACGAGTTAGTGAGAGAATATAAAAATGTGAGAGAAGATAGAAAACTATTTTTAATCTTTCTTATTTAATATATTCCTTAGAAAATAGAGAAATAATTAAATACTAATAAAATATTACCATTAGTGAGAGAGTATGAAGATGTGAGAGAAGATGGAAAGGTCAAAGAATAAAACTATTTTTAATCTTTCTTTTTCAATTTATTCATTTAGTTTTTTTCTTTATGATATATTTAATTATTTATTTTATTGGGGGACCAAAATCATAAATATACAAGTAAGTTACAAAACTTTGGAGGAGTCATAGCCCCTCTTAACTAATATGAAGGTTCGCCACTGATTTAGAGATTGGAAGAATAGAAGCTAACAAAATGTAACATTATAAATTTCGAAAGAACAAGAGAATTTAGAAAATGAACTTTGCATAGAATTGTAAAATCTAAAAAATGAATCAATAAAAGCTTTCGTTTCTAAATCATCTTTGCACTTATGTAGTAGTGTTTCTGTGACAAAATGAATGAGCTTAAGTTCTAGCCCATATAAGCCTAAACAAAGCCCAATTACAAAACTTAATTTGCATAGAACAACATAATGCTTTATCCTAAACTTCTAAAAATCATAAAAATTTGTTCTAGGATATAAGTATAATGGCTCAAGTATCCAAATTGAAGGCTCAGAAGTATAGAATCCAACATAAAAAGAATGGGCTCAAAAGGTTTTTTACATAAAAAGTTATGAGCAAAATAGTGAACAAAGATGAAATTGGAAATTTACAAAAATACACTATAAAAACATATTTGCAAAACTCCTCTTTATGCTAAATGAAATGAATAAAGGAAAAAAAAAATACTTACGAGATGCAATAAGACTATAAAAGTGAGTACAAAATATGAGTCATATATATATATGTTAAAAACAATGGCTGAGATCAATAGGGGAGCAAATTGATCTTTTACAACTTTTTTGAAGACATAATAAAATTACCAATTCCCAAAAACAAAATTAAAGATTT